TTTTACTGTCCTTTGTTCTTAGAGGAAGTACAGAAACACGTAACTCTGGATTTGTTTTAATGTTTGAGGTGCAATAAACGACACAGCAGCTTTTTGGCATCATACAACTATTACTTTCTGCCTCGCTCATGAGAGTAACAGCTGGCGAAATTACAGCCTCGCCTACTGATTTCAAATGTGTGCTCTAAAATGATATTTATAAATGACTATTATCATTATTATAAGCAAGACAATAAATGGTAAAGATATGTAGAAAATAAACGTAGGCTATTTGAGATACGTTCATAACGAACGTAACGTGGGAGAAAATACGTTTCTGGCTAAACGTAATTGAGAATGCAGTTTAGTTCTGTGGGAATGTAATTTTTAGGAGACAGGGTTGTGTTAACATTATCAGCTGTAGAGATAGTGTTTAGCAGAGTCTCTGTTGTCGAGAAAACCTGATGAAGTCAGTTAGTTTGAGGTTCCTTTTGAGAGAAACCAATGTGTCTTATCCCTCTCAACTACTACCTGTTACTGCAGCTCTTTTTAGAGGGATTTTGTTTCTCAACTTTCAGAGTTTTCCTGTCTTTACATGAGGTGAAGATGTTACTGTACATAGATGAGTTTATTTTGTTAAAGGGAATCACTGAGCTCTGTAGGCACTCTATGAGAAGCAGAAGAGTAAGAATACTTGATATCACTTGCTACCCTTAGCTCTCCTGGTTAATTAGGATCATTGATGGATGCCTTTAAGCATTTTTAGAGTTGTTAGAAAAATGTAAACTCTTGTAACATCAGGCTTATTTTTTGCCTCCAACTAAAATCTCTTGACAAAGACATATGCAGGTAGCATGGTCATAGTTGAACTATTACATCGACCACCATTGAAAAATGTGTGTCACAAACTGTGTCTCCTCATATATCAGTGTTTGGTTTACAGTACAGTGACTCCATGCTTATCTTTCCTTTGTGTTGTGCTCCATCAAGTGGACACTCTGTGCCAGAACACCAGGGCCCTTTCTCATTTCTCTAACTCCCCTCCTCGACTCCTCTCCTCGACTCCTATCCTCGATACTTAGTCCCGCCCACAGGAGATGCGAGCGGAGGAGCCGAGGAGGGGAACCGAGGAGAGAGGAGGGGAAGCAGCAGGCGGTTAGAGAAATGAGAACTCCTCTCCTCTGAGTGGTCATTTTAAAGAGACGTCCATTAATGATGACAGGAGGCACAGCAGCCCTCTGTCTGATGGACAGATGTGTTCTGATAATAACGTAATAATATCAGAGACTGGATATATCCCCCCCCCCCCCCTCTCTGGTCGCTACAATGAGGAAAATAAATTACGGGCCAAAAGTTGTATTTACAAGTATTAAAAGTAAGCAGAGGACACCAAACCAACTGAGACCTGTCTGTCCGCTGCATCTACGCTCACACTGTACCACACACACGCACATACAGTTCCTAAAACAGGCTACAGCCGTTGTGTATTTTATTATGTGAAGCACTAAATGGTTTTAGAAAAATATTGACTCTTTGTTTGTAGATATCTACTAAAACTAAAGCAAATAAAAAGAGTAGGCCTGTTATACTGAGTGATATATATTATACACACTGCTCTGCTTTCTGCACGGACCTCACAGCTGTTCTCACTGTAAACATCGCGTCGCGATGAAAGCAGTTAATAAAATAATATCCAGGGGATGCATGCAGAGCTGTGATTAGCTGAGATAAGTCCGGCCGTGTGTCACGACTCTTTGAAACATCTCTGTTCCCGGAAATGCATCCACGAAGGAGCCGTGGAGGACCCATCAATCAATCAATCAATCAATCAATCAATCAATCAATCAATCAATAGGATACGGCTGTAATAGGCCTAAGGCCTTTTAGTCGCTCATAAATAATTGAGTAGATCACTGATTCTTTATTTACTATGGATGCTGGCAACAGTCACATAGTCAAAAGTGAAGGTGATGTTTGACCAGTAGTGGTCGAGGCGGGATTTGAGACAGTTAACCGTCTTGGATGTGACAACGCTTTCTGGCAGATCATTCCACAAGTCAACCACACGCAGGCTGAAAAAGTTGCGGCGGATAGCCAGTCTTGAGTACTGTTTCTTCAACTTGAGGCAGTGTCCACGAGTCCTGGTGTTATAATCCCGTTGTAGTGGGCATGATGTTTTGTAGATGTTGTGGAGATATTTGAAAACTTCGATCATATCTCCCCTCGCCCTTCTATAATACATACTCGGGATTTTAAGACGTTGCAGTCGTTCTTGATATGGTAGGTCCTTTAGTTCTGGATCCAGCTTCGTTGCCCTTCTCTGTATTTTCTCGATGAGCTCAGCATCCATTTTGTACATGGGGGACCAAGCGACATTCCCATACTCGAGGAGTGGCCGTACAAGAGAGATGTATAAACTACGTACTACGTCAGAGTCCAAATAAGTGTATGATCTGCGGATCATTGCTAGGATACCATTGGCTTTGTTACTTGCCCGACGGATATGGTCACTAAATGTCAGGGTATTGACAACATTCACACCAAGGTCCTTTTCATTCTGAGTCTCAGATAGGTTTATAGTGTTTGAATTATCACCCATATTATACTCATATTTTTTATTCAGAAAACCTAAGTGCATTACTTTGCACTTTGCTGCATTGAATTTGAGCTGCCAACACTCGGACCATCTTTGTATTTCTCTGAGATCTGACTGGAGTTTTTCTGCATCCTCTTTACACTTAATTTCCTTGAGGACTTTAGTATCATCTGCAAACATCTGGACCCTGGAGCTCACATTATCAGGTAGGTTGTTGATATAGTGGACAAACAGTGCAGGACCCAGGACACTACCTTGTGGAATTCCACTGAGAACTGGGCACCATCCAGATGGTTTCCCGTTAACAAAGACTCTCTGTCGCCTGTTTTTGAGAAAGTCTGAGATCCAGGTGAGTATGTCTCCACGGATACCATACCCATAGAGCTTATTCAGTAATCTTTTGTGAGGTACAGTATCAAATGCTTTCTGGAAATCCAAATAAATGGCATCGAGACTTCCTCTTTCGTCAAGGGTACGAGACCATATGTCAAGGCAGGCCAGGAGTTGGGTTGAACAGGATCTGCCCTGGACGAAGCCGTGTTGGCGGTCTGATAATAGGTTGTTTGAGTCAAGATGTTCTATGACGGCATCACGCACCAAGGATTCAAGGAGTTTGCATACTACTGCTGTAAGGCTGACAGGCCTATAGTTTCCAGGATTGCTTCGGTCACCTTTTTTGAATATAGGAGTTACATGACCATCCTTCCAAGGCTGTGGTACCACACCTTCATCAAGCGATTTTTTAAATATGGTAAGTAAGGGTTCATCTAGTTCGTCACACAGTTCTTTGAGAATCCTGGGATAGATGCCATCCGGTCCTGATGCTTTTGAGGCATCTAAGTTCGATAGTTTTTTATGGATGTCCTTAGATGTGAAGTCCAATTTATTTAGTGTAGTATTAAATGGTCTGTCCTGGAAGTCTGGTATTGATGAGGTATCCTCCTTTGTAAACAAACTAGCAAAGAAGGAATTTAGTGTATTGGCTTTGTCCTTGTCATTTTGAGCCAGGCTGCCATTAGCCTTTTTCAGATCTCCGACTGTGGCATTGACTTTTAACTTGCTTCTGGCATATTTATAAAAAGCTTTCGGATTCTCTTTAGCTTCCTTTGCAATTTTTCTTTCATGCTCTCTTTTAGCTTTCCGACACTCCCATTTAACTTGGTTGCACAATTTTGCATAGGAACAACGGTCACTCTCTGTACCAGATAACCTTTGTAAGGTGTAAGCTGCACTTTTTGATTTGATTTGATGTTTGATTCTATCATTTCATCCATTCCGGAGTAGAGCGATTTTTCTTACTTTTTCTCGATGACATAGGGATGTGCCTCTTGCAACTTGTTAGGATTTTTTCTTCCATGGCCTCCCACTGTGCTGAAGCTGACTTGTTTTCAAAGGTCTGTCCCAATCATTTCCTGTTTCAGGCTTTCATAATTTCCTTTATCAAGGATGAACTTGCGGTTTGGATTATCGCATATCTCATGGTAGCATAGAAATTTGAAAAACAGGCAGTCATGGTGACTTTTTCCTAGTGGTGCTTCATGGCTTAGATCCTCAACCATTCCCTCCTCATTTGTGATATCCTCGGTTATAGCTCCTCCAGAGAGCCTCCTCGACGCTCGATCCTCGGTCCTCGAAGTGCATTTAGAGAAATGAGATGTCCTTCAACATGGCGTGCTGAAATTAATTTCCGGGTCACTACCGGAGGGCCGAGGAGTCGAGGAGTGGGATTTGATGAAATGAGAAAGGGCCCAGGAAGTGGTGGAAGTGTGTCACTGTAGTGTAGTACAACAACAAAAACACAATGAACTCAGTGCTGAGGTCGATATGGTATTATGCTGTTAAACTTGCATTAAATACCACAGTACTATTTTTGCAATACCATTTATTGACTATTTTTAAATCTGACTTGAAAGGCCTTTTGAAAATGTGAGATTTTTCATGCATAACTTTGAACAACAAATAACACAGCAGTTATTGTGGTTTAGAATCTAAAATCAGCTAAAATGTAATCCTGCTGACCTTAAAATATACATATACTGAGTTTTGAATCACTGAAATAAAAAATTAAATAAAAGGCTATTTGCCATGTTTTTTAAAATCTTGCCAGATTTATAGATTGGTTTCGATCCTTGACATACGGAGACCCATCAAGTTTTCCTATTGTGTTTTTAAGACTTGTCTCCTGTCATCTGAAATAACACTGAACACATTACTCACACAAACAACAAAGACCAGTGACCTTGAAATTATTATATTTGTATTTTTTATTTAAAATTGTGCTTGTGAAGATTATTATCTTGGATGAAAGACAAAATATTTAATCCGTTTCACATTGAGTTCTTGTTTAGTTCAATGATTATAAAATGTGCTGGGAGGGAAATCATTTGAAAAGGCATTTTTACAAGAAAAAGAAAAACTTCAGACCTTGTGTTCAACATGCAGTTTATTTTAATGTTTTTAACTCACAATCAGATATTTACAAATGTTTTTGATTCATAAGCTATTTAACCAGTAATCAATATAAAACCTGCAATGGCTCCTTCTTGAAGTTAAAGTAATTATCTGTGGCTTTATAAAAACTTTAACACATATTCTCCATATGTGTGTTAGAATAAGTGTTGATGAGATAATTATTGAGTAAACGAATGCTTCCAATAATGTGTTGTATCTAATGGGATACATAACGAATGAAATGTAAATCAATCACCACAGTAAACTTATTATGTAGAAAATAAAATGGAAACTATGCAGTTCTGACTAAATCAAAACATGAAATAAGATGAGTGATTAGTTGACAGGCAAGATGATCAGAGGTGCAGTGTTTTTACTGCAGTATAAAAGTCCAGGACAGAAGAATGGGTAGAGTTTCTCAGTGAAGGAGCAGCCAGTAAAGGAGTAGATAAGAGCTGCAGCATCTACATCATAAAAGGAGACCAGACCCTCCTCATAATCCACAAACACCCCCACCTTCTGAGGCTGAGACTTCAGAGAGAGACGGACTGAAGGACCAGCAAGAGCTTTGTAGCCATATCCATTTAACAACCATATAGTCCAGTTACCATGTTTTGGGCTCAGTGTGATATATTCCTTCCTGTTGATCGACTCTCTGGCCACTCCTAAATACCATTCAGTCTTTCCTTTAACTTGAACCTCAAAGTAAAATCTGCCTGAAGAGAAACTCTGCTTTCCTAAAACACTATCACATTCAGAAAATCTCTCTGGGTTGTTTGGGAGATTGAGATTCTCTTCGACATCACTATATTCAACTCTTTTTTTATCATCAGACAGGGTGAGACAGGGATGTGCTGTATCAGGATCAAGAGTCACATTTACAGCATATTTCTGGACCCTCTTCAGTTCACCTTCAAGCAGCTTCTTCATCTCTTTACTGAAAGTCTCCTCCAGCTGAGCCACAGCCTTTACCACGGTCCCCTCATATACTGCTGGGGTGAAGCGGAATTTTCTCAAGTCCTTGGAGGGTTGTCGGTGTTGAATGTTTAGGGACTTGACACTTTGAAGAAAATGCAGGTGGTCTTCAGAGTGTGTGACCTGCTCCACCTCAGAGCTTCTCTTCTTCAGCTCAGAGATTTCCTGTTCCAGCTCTTTGATTAAAGCTTCAGCCTTTTTTTCAGTTGTTTTCTTCTTCGCTTTGATCGTGTTGATGAGATTGGCCTGGCCTCTCTCAACAGACTCCTTCAGAGCAGTGAAGACCTTACCACCTTCTGCTATCTCTCCGTCTGCTTCTTTCTCACTGAGGTCCACTGAGTGTTTGATCTCCTCAATCTTCAGTTGTCTCTCCTGGATCATCTGCTGAGTTTCAACCTCTGTCTTCCCCAAATCGGCCTTCTCCCCTTCATATCCTTCTTTCAGAGGAACCACATCATGCATCTTGTGGTCTGAAACATGGCAGAGCATACAGACACATGTCTGGTCGGTCTTACAGAACAGCTCCAGAGGTTTATCGTGCTTCGGACACATCCTGTCTTCCAGGTTCTCCACAGGGTCGATCAGCTGATGTCTTTTCAGGCTTGAAGATGTCAGATGAGGCTCCAGGTGAGTCTCACAGTAGGAGGTCAGACACACCAGGCAGGAATTCAGGGCCTTCAGTTTGGTTTCAGTGCAGACGTCACAGGGAACTTCTCCTGCTTTGAAGACTTGTTGCTCTGAGCTGCTGCTGCTGCTGCTGGCTTTCTGTTGAGCCGACTGTCTGAACTGAGCGACCATCCCAGAGATTAAAGTGTTAACGTGCAGCTCAGGTCTTGTGTTGAACTCTTTTTCACACATGGGACACAGGTACTTGTCACTTGTATCCCAGTGTTCAGTGATGCAGTCTTTACAGAAGTTGTGTCCACATGGTATGGTGACTGGAACAGTGAACAAATCCAGACAGATGGAGCAGAGGAACTGATCCTCAGATGGCAGGTAGCTTGCAGCAGCCATATCTACACACATGTGAACGAAAAGAAAAAACATTTGAAACATCAATCATCAATTCATATCATATATTGTTTTAAAGAAATAAGTGTGATAACTTGTAACAAGCCATGAGCAGCCGTGATCATTTAACTCCGACAGGGCCAAGCATGCAACTCTGGCTAACAGCTATGAAAATATAGGTTTTCTCGATCATTTTTCTATTGAAAAATAACACTGCTCTTCTCACTGTGTGACCATAATTATTAATTTCCTCGAGCTGCTTCACATCAAAAGACTCCAACTGTTTCTCTAATGGAAATATTTTTATTTTGAAACAGCTAGAGGAAATGGGTAAAAGCATTATGTAGGAAGTGATCAGCAAAATGTAATAAGAGCAGGAGAGCAGAAGTGAATCAAAACTCCTCACCACAGAGATTCAGTTACAAGTTACTAAAGTAGTTGATAGAAAGAGACTGTTTAAGCTGTTTAGAGTGGACTCTATATCATATATATGGTTATGTTGATTGAGAAAAACAAGTTGGACATAAAGGAGCTGAAGTAGAGCTGAAGTTTAGTGTTAATCCTTCTTGTTGACAGTGTAAATATAATCAGATGTACTCACCAGTGTTTGACAGAGACTCTGCTGTGTTGTTGAGAAAGATCTGATTAACTCAGTTTGTATTTTCTGTAGACAGAAACGGAGACTAGTCTCGACTGCAGTGTGGCTGCCTCTCTGACTAACTTAACATTCATTTCCTGAGTGTGACGTGTAAGCTCTCCTCTTTCCACTGTAGCTCCTCCTCTCACTGTCTGCTGGTCTGTTCCCTCCCTCTGATCTGCATGGGCATTGAGAAATACCAGGTTTTCTCTGATAGTTAGGGAGCAAAGCTGGTGCTTTACAGATGGGAGGGATGAGGTGTGTCAAAAGCTGTTTAAACTAAAATCTCTTGACAAAGACATCTGCAGGTCTCCCTTGAAAAAGAGATCTATGATCTCAATGGGACCAATCTGGTTAAATAAAGGTTTGAAATTAAATTAAATGAATGCAGGTTGCATGGTCATAGTTGAACTATTACATTGACCACCATTGGAAAAACCCATTTGTCCTTGGTCAACATGAGAGTTTATCCTGTACATGTTTGTCACAAACTGTGTCTCCACATATATCAGTGTTTGGTTTGCAGTACAGTGACTCCATGCTTATCTCTCCTTTGTGTTGTGCTCCATCAAGGAAGTGGTGGAAGTGTGTTACTGCAATGTAGTACAAAAAGCAAAAACACAATGAACTCAGTGCTGAGGTCTATTTGGTATTATCCTGTTGAACTTGCATTAAATACCACAGTACTATTTTTGCAATGCCATTTTTTGACTATTTTTAAATCTGGCTTGAAAGGCCTTATGAAAATGTGAGGAGATTTTTCATGCTTAACTTTGAGCAACAAATAAAACAGCAATTATGGTTGTTTAGATACTAAAATCAGCTCAAATGTAATCCTGCTTACATTCACATATACATATACTGAGTTTTGAACCACTGAAATATAAAATAAAATAAAAGGCTATTTGCCATGTTTTTTTAAATCTTGCCAGATTTATAGATTGGTTTTGATCCTTGACATACGGAGACCCATCATGTTTTCCTATTGTGTTTTTAAGACTTGTTTCCTGTCATATAAATAACCAACACATCCTCACTCCCAGGTCGGCCTATGTTGACGTTATGTCAAGTCCCCTGTGTCGGCTTTTTCCAACGCAAGGGGGGGCCCTAGCGTACATTTTCAACTTTCCGGGATATCCACAGGCTTCTATATAGCTCCCTAAACGTATGTTGTAGACGACTTGAGATCGCGAGCGAATGCTACCCGCAGATCCATTCTCACAGCGTTTATCAACCTTTGTCTTACTCAATATCAAGCCACACTTATTGTTTTTACTTCTTTATTTTAATTGAATAATGTAGGACTTTTGTTGCCGTCAGTTATGGGGAGAGTAAGGGCTCAGAATACTGAAATCTGTATCTGTATCTGTATTAATAATAATAATTTACAAACTCTTCAACTACAACCCTAATTATATTTAAAAACATTGAAGAAGGCCTCACAAAATACTTTCATGTAAATATACATTTTAAAGTGAAGGGATGTGTGCAATGTGGTGATTACATTATTCACCCACGGATCTATGGGTTGGGGTATTGTTCCGCACGGACATTTTAGTTAACCGGACTTCCTGTTGATGTGAAATACGAAAACATTTTTTTTAAATAAATGATAATTTATTCCGAGTTTGCTTGCTTTTCTCTTTGAAGGTCATCACATAACGGCATTGTAATACACGGTTCGGCTGCATTGAATATTACATATGCCGTAATTCTCTATTTATAGAGCCCTGATGAGAAGACTTCTAGACAAACAGGAATAACTGCCGCCGAAACTGAATATGTGACGTGGATCATAAATATATCAGCAATTAAACAAAATCTTCACAATACAAGTCTCTTTGCAGTATCAACACTAATTCGGCTGACTTTTATATTTGATCCAATCAGTATATTGGTATATGTACACCATAACGGTGCACAGCTGATAGAAAGGTACACCTGGGGCCTATACTACGAAACTGGTTCAACCTAACCTGGATATGTTTGAGTTAGCCGGTTGGCCTAATCCAAAACATACGCGCTCTCGCTAAACTGTACTACGACGCGGGTTATCAAGTGGATCGCTCAAGCCAGCCGTTTCCTATCTAGTTAGGTGCGCGTTCACATGAAAGGGGTGGTATTTGGAGCATTCGACCAATCACAGACATGGAGAAGCGCACTGACAGCGCAGCGTCATACTTCCTGAATGAAAAGTGAACTTTAATACTAGTCAAAAATGAAGAAGTTAAACTTTAAACATCCATGACTTAAATACTTTATCCAGGATAAAAGCCACATAGTCTGCACCTGCAAGGTGAATACAGCTGGCAAAAGAAAAAGTGTTTGAATGCGTACATTAACAGGTTTATGATATCACTGCTAAGACACGATCTGACTTTAATTACATTTGTCTCGAGTGTTTCGTTAACTGTTGCTTAAAATAATACTTCTGCATACATTAGGCCTATGTGACACTGTGAGTGTTGCACGGCCAGATACGGCTCAGCTGACTCAGATAAGAAAATATATGATACATTATGATGTGATATGCCGCGGACTGTACTTAATGTTACTCTGATCCGGTTACTTATGTTGTAGTAGATATGTGGTAAGTGTTCTTAACGCTAATGTTATAATAGTCAGATTGCTCTGAAGATGGGAGGTGATATTCTATTAATGTTCACGTTCACACAGTCGGTGATTTTTGCCGGCCGTCTTTCCTGCGACGGCAGCTTTTCTGTATTTCCTTTCTCCTGTAATATGACTTGATCGCTTTAAACTCCGCACACTGAGCTCTGATTGGTCAGCAGGCGGTGCTTTCACTGAGTTGAGCTCTTAGCCTGCAACCTAACCTGGTCCCGACCAGGTTAGCCGCTAAGCATAAGTTACCATGGAGATCTAGCCTGCTAAAAAGAGAACCAGCTTCGTAGGGCCGGAAAGCCCGAGTTTTCCCTGAATTTAGCCGGCTAAGCGAAAATCCTGCTTCGTAGTATACCCCCCTGGTGGTTAAAGCACGTTATTGAAATGTATTAATTTTATTATTAGATATTAATAGGAGACACAGACAGACAAACTAATAAGGCTTTATTTAAACATTAAAGAATACTTTAGGTTAAGGTCTTATTTTGAATAAGAAAAAAGCTTTGGGGGTATAAATAAGCCTGACAAGGTACTAATATATTGCTTTCCTGCAATGTTAACTACTGTATGTGTAAGCACTTATTTTAACTGATATTATACATATGTATTATACTCTTATAAGATGTATGTAGATAGTATAAGAAATTTGCAGATTACGACAGTTTAATGGTGGAGGTATACACACATATTGATAGATGTCTTGTAATGCACTGTTGAGGAACCTGTGACCCAAGTTTTTAATCTCCGGCCTTGTCAGGTATTGAATGTTCAATAAATAAAGAACACAGAATTATTAAATATAAAACACAGAATTTGTGTGATTATACTAAATGATTTACAAATAAACACCACTGTATATTTACAACTGTTACACATGCTGATGTAACGCAAATGTTTCCAACTTGGGATCAATAAAGTATATCTTATCTTAAGATGATCGATGGCTACTGCCAGATTTGCAAAATGTGCCTCTGAACCTTGACAAGTGCAGGTTTCAGGCTTATCAATTAACAACAGGAGGGGTCACAGACATAAGACCAGCTGTTAAATAAAGCTCTTCTGACCTTAGCTGTCATGTGGGTATATGTTAATGCTGCCCATTATGGGCACAAGCAATTTTCACCCATTTATTAATTATATGTTTTAAATGTGAGTGTTTCCTATCGCCTAAACCTCCAGGGTGTAGACAGTTTAATACTGACAACTTCTTATTATGGGAAATACGAAAACGTCTTTTAAAACTACAATTCCCAGTAGAGACGTGCCATAGATAGAGAACATGTTGAGAAACACACAATAGCCAGCATGTGTAGTTCTGGGGACGGGGTGGGGAGGGGGGGACGCGGTGGACCCGTTGAAATCCAGTTTTGGACAGTCTGTCGTGGTTCCATCCCATTTCAAGTGCTGTTCGACGCTCGGCGTAACCCTCGAAGCACACTCTCCAATCACAGAGCTTGAGGACTATCACGCGGTTTGTCAAGCGAAGCGGAGAGAATACTTACTTCCGGGTGTAAAATTCTCTAAAGCAACTATGAGCTGCTCCGACCCTCGGTCCTGACGGACTCCAACTTGTGTTTATTAATCAAACAAATAAATAAATACAAGGATAATTGTGTGTTATTGTTGAGTAAATAACAGTGTGTGGTTTAGAAAATAATACAAAATTAGAAGGAAAAAACGATGAAACAATACAGATTTCAGTTTTCTGAGCCCCTACTCTCCCCATAACTGACGGCAACAAAAGTCCTACATTATTCAATTAAAATAAAGAAGTAAAAACAATAAGTGTGGCTTGATATTGAGTAAGAAAACGGTTGATAAACGCTGTGAGAATGGATCTGCGGGTAGCATTCGCTCGCGATCTCAAGTCGTCTACAACATGTTTAGGGAGCTATAAAGAAGCCTATGGACATCCCGGAAAGTTGAAAATGTACGCTAAGGGCCCCCCCCTTGTGTTGGAAAAAGCCGACACAGGGGACTTGACATAACGTCAACATAGGCCGACCTGGGAGTGAGGATGTGTTGAAATAACACTGAAAACATTACTCAGACTGTTACGGTTGCTGTTTCTGTCTGCTCATTAATCTGCCTGTGAATGTTTTCAGCTGTGTGTGTAATATTTAAATAAGCTGCGCAGTAGCCCTGACGTCATTGGCTGCCCATCCTCTGGTCCGCCTCCGAAGATCGTGATTGGAGCACGCCGGACCCGACGTCTTCCAGTCGCAGAGCACCGGCGGCGCACACCTGCTGCAGATGATTATAAAGCCCGGGAACAACTACCACTCCGGAGGCTCTGTTGAGTGAACAGACGCCTCTCGCATTTTGCTCTTCATTCTGTGGTTAATCTTGTGTGTCTATCTCCGTGTGATATTGTGTGTTAGCAGAGTGTAGAGTAGGTTATTTAGTGTTTCGAGCAGTGGGCATTTTACGGCCCGCGGGCCACATCCGGCCCGTTGGCCGGCCCACTTGAGGTTGATCATAAATTATAACATAATGAAAAAAAACAACCTTTTCAAAATAAAAGCAACACA